TCTGCTTAAATGCACGTGGGATTGGTACAGTTTGGCCGAGGGTTGGCTGTGAATGAAGGATTGGGGATGAGGATGGAGGGGCAGGGAAAATAGTTTAGCCACTTCTAAGCACTAAGGCTTCATCCCAACAGCTTCAGGTGACAGTCTTGGTTTGCCAAATAAGTTGCTTAATGCATCAACTGACCCAGGTGAGGACCTCCCGCTGAAAATAGAACACTCTGACAAGCAAGATCACCTTCAATCAACCGACTTGCCTCTCAATCGAAAGCTGGTAAAACCCGAAGTCGCGTTGAAAGCAAGCGCCTTGCTCATAAAGTTCTTTGTATTTTGCCGGGAGGAATGCTTCTGGATCCCAAAAACTGTGTCCAAAAACAGGATACAAAAATAGAAGGCCAAGCCATTTCTGGTTTGAGGGTACGTGGACTAGTGACTAATTCACAGAATGCGCTCTGTGAAAGGAATGCTATATATATACAGTATACAGTATATATATATATATAGTCGTTTTGATCGAGATTCCAGTGAAAGCATCCTTGATCGCCTGCTTCTTGTGACACCAACACATATATGCATTCTTGCACCCACCTGCTGGGCGCCCAGCACCGGTTTCAGTGGCTCCAAGGCCTCATCTACCTCAATACACACTGGGGCCTGCCACAAACGAGCCAACGGCAACAAAATCATAGTCTTGACCTGACTGCCTAAACTTTCGACATGCTACATTCAAGCTAAACTCAGCGAAACGAGCGAAACAATTTGAAAGAATCAACCCAGCTGCGTCAGAGTTATGAAAAGTGTTCGAGTTTGTGTCGTCATGTGAAAGCTTCTGAAGCTCATGCTGCTAAACCCTGGTGACGACCTGCAAGCCTAAACCGACGCCAACACCTTCTGCAAGGCCGTCATGAGACGATCGAAGAATCCACGTCTTGTCACCCTGGCATCCAGTGCAAAGAAATAGGCTGTGTGAGGGGCAGTGTCAATGTACGGTAAGCACATTGACAACAAAATAAGAACACAAATGAGAAAATCATTCAGCCAGCATACTCAGGTGTGTGGCCGGTGGCTAGCTGAGGCACCTGCTCAAAAATGCATAGGCACACCCCCTACCCTTACGCAACTATCGAAGGCTCTGCCCTTCGAACACCATGCACTAACTCAGGATGGCACAATGCAAACAATGCCGCCACCCCGCCTTGCTTCAAACCCTGCTGCGCGGAAAGTGCACTTGCCACATCATGTCACCGTGTGAGACTGTTTTCAGCTAGGCCGTGGGCACAGTCTCGGCGGCAGCCCACAGAGTCTCTGGCATTATCTCCTGCAGGCGAATAGAAGCTTGTCGGCGTCATAGCTCTCAGCAACTTTCACTCCCATCCAAGAATCTCCTCCGGGTCGAAAATCACAGCTGCATCAAAAGTGGAGCCCAAACACGCAACCTTCCGGACCTTGCAAAGGGCTAGGCTAGACCAAAAACAACAAGACAACAGACCTTGTGATAGCCGGAATTATGAGAGTGAACATGACGATGACCCTGGATGATTTTCCACAAATCAGCCAACTACAGCCAGCTTGAAGTGCGCATGCGCCTGTCCAAAGGCCCAGCTCGTCGCCTCAAACTCATAGTCACCTTTCAGCTCTGATCTTGGCAGGGCCAACGGTGTCCAATATCATCCCACACTAGTGAGAATCAAGGAAAGCAAAGAGTGCATTCTTGATCCTTATCCACAGGCGCCAAAGAAAATCATGACAAGTGTCCTAGTCTACCTCTACTGCGCGGCCAGCGGGAGACTTGGGAGATATCATGGAAGCAATGGCCAGCTTCTGGCGACCATGACACAGCAGTCGGGAGAAACCATTGCTAGGCTGGGAGATCGGCCTGGCATGGAGAACATGGCCAGAAGGATCCAATTTGGGGATTAAAGCTTTGCTCATCTCAGGTTCAATCACAGAGTGTGCCAAAGGCCATCCAATCAAGGCAAAAGAATTTATGGAGCCTGTTATTTTGCGGGATGCTTTGTGTTGTTGGTCAGGATTCACCCACTCCCAGGTAAGAAAGGCACCAGCAAACGCCTGCCGACCTCAAAAAGGTTACAGAAGATTATGACTGTCATGGATGTTCACCAGAATCGCGCAAACAACCAAATGGCCCCAGTCTTTCTATTCACTGTTGTTTTCTTTGGGGTGTGCGACTTCAATCTTGCGAAGCTAAGCTGACGACTACAAAGAAGGACACTCTTCGCACTGCATAGGCGAGCAACTCGAGTCGACAAGGCCCTCAAGGCTCTGGGAGTTCAAAACCCAAGACTTCAAATGCAAGACTCAAGACTCAGCCCAACATATTCAAACATTTGGAACAACGCATTTCGCGTCCAAATGGCCTTTTTAACTTTACATTGAATCGATGGCTGCAAATGCACTGGCCGAAAGCCCTCTCTCTCCTCACCGCGCCTTTTCTCCTCGTCACCACCTTGCAGCCGAACCTGTAGCAGTTGGGCACATGGCTGAGGCAAGTGAAATGTAGCAAAGAATCTGCCAATTGCTAGGTTTTGCACACCTTTCGTGAGTAGTGAGACTTTAAGAAACTCTCAAGGTTGAGTCGGGGCAAAGCAAAGAAAATGACAGGAAATGTGTCGGGACGAGGCGACGACCAAATACTGCCACAAGAAATCAGAAATCAAGCATATAATATATATATCTATCTATCTATCTATCTATAATATCTATAATATCTATAATACCTTTAATATCTATAATATCTATCTATCTATCTACCTACCTATCTATCTATCAGCCTTTCAGCATCGAATGGCCATGCCCGGCCACGCTCCCCGGCTGCGGCCATGACCCGGTTGCACATCCTTGGGGTCCGGGCTCCGCTCCTCCTTCTGGTTTGGTTCCTTGCTGGACCTTTGGACTGGTGGCTGCCCTACGTTGCTGGCCGTTCGCTGCTGCCCGGTCCTAATTCCGGGTCCGTTCCTGTGCACCTTGGCAAGTTCAAAACACTTTGTTGGAGCGGAAAAGGGAAAGGTTGGATAGTGGCCCAGCACTATCCTGAAAGGGGAAATCAAAAATTGATGTCCCACCAGAATCACCCTGAACTTCTGGGCGGAGGGCTTGTAGGATCCCACGGGATCACCAAAAAAAGAAGTCTGAAGCGCGCGTACAAACTGAAAAAAAAACTGAAAACTATCTATCTATCTATCTCTCAATCATCTATGGTGTGATACAACCAGGTGAGGTCAGTCGGGAATCACAAGTGCTGAAAAGAAGTCAAATGACAGAGATGCATGGAAGGGACGGAAAACTTGCCAGGCTGCAAAGATCATACACCCAAGGATTAGCTACAGTGAATGAGAGAGAGAGAGAGGCCCTACGGTAGAAATCAGAAAGAGTCTACCCAATGAAATGCCACCAAACAAAGCCTGGTTCATGGAGGTGGTTGTATACAGCGCACAGACAGACAGACAGACAGACAGACAGACACCCAGCCAGGCAGACAGACACTCACTCACTCCACTCACTCACTCCACTCACTCACTCCACTCACTCACTCACTCACTCACTCCCTCGCTCGCTCACTCACTCAGGGAGAGAGAGAGAGAGAGACACAGAGACACAGAGACACACAGACACAGACACAGACAGACACAGACACGGACAGAGACAGAGACAGAGACACACACAGACACAGACACAGACAGACACACACACACACACGCACACACGCATGCGCATATGTATAATTATATACATGCCCATCACTTAATCCTTCGTGGGCGCGCGCACGAATGTTTCTAAACATGTACCTGTGTGTGCATTCGTCGAGAAGCATAGAGCAAATGATAGTTTTTTTGCTCTCGTCTTGCGATTCTGTCTGACTTCCTCTTCTGACCACCTCTCTAAGCCGAGCAGCAAGGATACAGACTCTATGTTGCTTGGCCCTGGCCACCTTGCGCATCCAATAAGGAACTGCGGTGTGAACCGGCTTCCTATTCCGTAGCACATGCAAAATGCAAGAATCGCAAAATGTCCGTCCTCAACCGCGGCACCCAAGCCAGACCTAGAATGCTCAAATTGCAAAACATCAAAAGCAAACACCTGAGCAGCATCACTCTATTCTGGGACTACTCATCCATAAAAAGGTGCTCTAGCGGCAGCAATACAGGCCATTGCACAGGAAATAGTGGCAGCAATAGCAGTCGCAGGCAATCAGAGCAGGAGAAGCCGCCGCCGCCGTAGCACAAGCAGCGTGGAAGGAGTAAATAGTGACCGAGAGGGACCGAGGGACCGAGTCCAAGACGTAAGGGACCCGCTCGCTCTCCCCTCCCCTCCCTAGTCAATTAAGCGAGGAGCTAGTAGCTCACGCTTCTTCAAGGAAGCTCCCGCCGCGTCAGGGCTGGGGGGAGCTTCCTTGAAGAAGCGCTCGCACTAATGATTTGGTTCTGAGATTTTTTGGGACACCAACATCTGAGTTCCATACATTTCTCGAAGGCAACCATAATAGCAGGTTGCTGCGAAAAGAAACCCAGGGCAATGGCCGTGCCGATGTGGAAAGCCACCCACCCATTCTCAAGTTTGCAGGGGACATGATATGATTGACATTAAATTGGAAATGCTCCATTTACGGTAGCATCGCATCGGTGGTATCACCACAACGAACCACGCGCAAATCAAGCACCAGGAAAGCCAGCTGTTACAGCGGCGGCACTGCACGCGCTAAATGATGTCAAGAATCAAATGCTGTGAAGATTGAGTATCGTTGTCCATCCGATTGAACAAAGAACAGGCCTTCAGCATCCATATGAGACCAAAGGTTTCACCTTCGATGTTTTTGTCGAGGCCAACTTCTTCAAAGCCCAGACACTCCTTATGGTGCCAGGGTTGGGGGACTTGCATTAATTGGGCGCCAGCAACAAAGACTCAGACACTAGTAGCTAGAAGCTATTTGTAGTATGGTCTTCCAATTATGTACTAGCAGCAATGCCCTTGTTACTTGTAGTATTGCCTTTCCAGTGCCCTTTCCAACTTGAAACAAAGGTATGTTCTCAGGCCTGTCAGCTGGCAGTGGCAGACCCTAATAGCCCTAATGTATGTCTAATCTAATCGTTGCTAAAGACATACATACCGCAGCAAAACTGGTGCTCGCCAATGAATTATAGGGCACTGTAGGTTTTGCTACACTGCCACGCCTACGGGCTCAAGGCACCTGTGGCCAGAGGCTTGGCAACCGTGACACCTGCGCCGCGGTTATATGATGCATGTCCGTGAAAGGGGTGAAGCGTGAAGGCACCAAGAAAGCAAACAAGTACGCAACGTAAAGACCACGGCTACGGGATCGTGCGGTGTCGGGAATTGCGCTGCACCTTTCAGACCTTGAAGTGCGCCGTTGTTGTCGCCCAGGAAGAGGCCCACCAACGAAGCCAAGAATGTGACGGAGGAACACCAAATTGCAACTGCCCAGCATGAAGGGACAAACTATGAGCAACCACCAGAATACGGCTCTTTGCACACACACGTTCAGTATGAATACTATTGCAAAAGTACTGGTTGGTCAATCCCTACATGGCAGGTGCACCGCACACTTTTCTAAACTGCTTTCAAACCCTTGTGCCTGAGTGGCGTCCGGTCAATCGCACAACCACGTGCAAGGGGCGTCAACAAGCGAGGAATGGGGTTCATTCACACTCCTCAAAAACTCTCTGCCCTCTTTAGCACGTTTGGCTTTCTTTGAAAGGTAAAGCTAGCCTCCCATTGGAAATTTTGTTCCACCACTCGTCCGCCTTCAACACCTTCGTTAAAATGTCGGCGAGTTGCTCGCCAGTTGGCAGCCAGTGGATTGGGGGCTTCAAGGGTTTTTGAGGCGTGGGGCGACTTTCGCCAGGGAACCTCTGCTTCCACTGATGCTTGGCTTCAATGAGCAATCCCTGCCTCAAACCTGCCAAATCAATCGCTAGCCTCTTCTCACTTGGCGCTCTGGGAACGCCTTCTCGGTGAATGTGGTCGTAGAGGCTCCGGCAATCAGTCAGGAGGTGCAAATCCAGCTTCTCTCCTGCCGATCCTTCACTGACGCGCATGCCAGTGGCCATCGACAAAAACAGGCTGCGGAGATAGACAGCGCTCTCAAATCCCTCGCACCCTGCCATGGTTTCTCCAGCAAACGTAGAGCGGCAGACTCGGTGAGATGCTTTGCTCCGCCAGTCAACGACGCTGAACTTCCCACCTGTGTTGGTCAGGCACGACTTGCTGGCAAACAAAATGAGGTGTGCCAGCTGCAAGGCGGTGGTGTGCTCACCAATCCAAGAGGCATCTTGTTCTTCTTGTTCGTCTGGGAGCACATTTCCCCACGCGGCGTCGTGGTACGCCAAGATGCATAGGTCATCTTCAGCTATCTTTCGCAGCGTGATGCCTTGCCCCTGATGCTTGCTGCACATGTTGATCACTTTGTTGGTGTTCTTCAGGTCGGCCACTGTGGGGTTTTGCTGACGTCGCTGGCATTGGCATACTGAGAACTGCAAATCCGGCCGCGTCTGTTTTGCCAGCCATGACACACAACCGATGGCCGTCCTGTTTTCTTCCTTCTGTTCAGGGGAGGCCAGGTCATCTTCCTTCTGGTCTTCTAAGATCGTCACCTTCTCCACACGGCTGGTGGCGTAATTCTTTTGTCGGATGTGAATCTCCTCGTCAGCGCACTGGTACTCACAGCCCACATACTCGAAGTTTTGGTTCTCCCATTCATCAATGGGGAAGTGGTTCTTTATCGCTTCTTAGAGCTTTGGCAGGAGGTACTGGTCGGACATCAGCATGATGTCGTCGACATGGGTCAGGAGCAGCGCTAGCGTCTTGTCGTCCTTGATGATGGCAAAGATGCACGGGTCGATCTCATTTTGAGTGAAGCGCAGTTTTTGATCTTGGTGATGTACCTCAAGTTCCAACAGATCGTGAGACAACTTCATCCACCAAAGCTTTGGGCTCGTAGACAAGCCGAAGACCCCCTTCAGTACCTCGATGATTTGCCCAGGCTGCAAGGAAGGTATTCCACGACGAGGCTGCCTGAAGTACAAATTCCTTGGAGCAGGAAGCCCATTCAAGAAGGCGGCTCTGATGTCCCCGACGCTGACTTGCCAATCTCGTGCTAGAGCCTTTTTGCAAGGCCAGGATGATGGCATGTCTGGGGACAGTTGGCGCATCAGTTGACATCTCTACGTGTCCCAAGTCCGGGTCCCATTGTCCCGCTACGCAGAGCCGTGCCTTTGGCTTCGGAGGTACCTGCTTGTCAAGCTTTCTCTTGGCATGGTTCTTGTCCTTGTAGAGGAAGCGGGAGTTCAGTATTCTCTTGGGGTCCACCGTCTCAATGACTTTCTGGCTTTCCTCCAGCGATAGGGCTCGCACCACTTCGAACTGCACATGTTCCTTCCATTGCTTCTCCTCGGCGGCAATGTATAGTTCACGTTCTTCAAAGGGGATGGCATTCCATGGCAACTCTTTCTCCAGCTGCTTCTCTTGCCCTCTCACGGAGATGGCCTTCCGTGCCATGAAAGGTTGATGGACACGACTTCTCTTGATGGACACTGGGACGTCATCCAGCACGTGGGCTTTTCTGGCGGCAGCCTGGATAGCTTTTGCTCTCTCTTCCACCGGGTTGATGGCGTCCTCAACTTCCATCTCGACGTGTTGCCCGCCGGAACCCCCATCGTCAACTGCATGCCATTCCAACTCCTCATAGTCAGACTCGTCTTCCTTTTCCATGAGTTCTTTGAGCTCCCTCATCGCCAGTTTCAATCGAAGGCCTTCACTTACTTCTTCATGATGCGCGGGTCGCAGATGTTCGGGAGCGCATAGAAGGCATCGACCACCTCTGGCGAGCCAGCAGTTTTGACCCTCCCTGCCGATCACAGAGCAAGGCCCAAGCCACCACTGCTTTCCTTTGAACTCCCGGTAGGCCTAGACCAGTCGCCCGGATCGTACGGCTTCTCCTCAACCCGGGTTTTGTGGTGCATGGCTCTCTCCAGGGCGCTCTTGGTCTGACATTGGAAGAAGGCCGCCTTGGCTGCCATTCGGATCTGGTTCCGTCTCCCCATCTTCTCATCCACTGTGACGCTATCAAGGCTTGCCAGTTCTTCATTTCCATCAAATAGGTCTCCGGGCATTCGGGCATTGCACCCGAACACCCATTGTCTCGGAGAAAACCCGCTCCGATTGCGCAGCTGATTCTTAGCATCTGAAGTGGCTGCCATGGCCTCAGGCATCTCGGAGGAGAGGATCGTGTGATCTTCAACTAACTTGTTCCAGATTTCTTTCCATGCTCCTCCATTGCAGGATTACGGCCCTCTCATTCATCACCTGTAGAAAGCTGTCCTTGAAGGCTGAGTCCAGGTCCACGATGAGATGTTTTCGGGCCCCTGCCCAACTCATCCACCCTTCCACCATCGCTCTGCCCACCTCCTCGGATGTGGTGTTGCTGAGAGGTAGCACTACCTGATAGGTGGATGCCACGTCCACAATGTTCAAAGCAGGGTTCCTGGTGCTGTCCATCGTGTCCAACCATATGATGTCAGCGGCCACAACCTCATTGAAATCCAGCACCACTGCGGGACTCGCCGGCCTCGAGGACTTGGCTTTGGCGCTCTTGTTGCATGTCCTGCACACCATCTGTTCGGCCGCCCTGATGACACTTTCCGATGCTCCACCCAGTTTCAAATGTCGGATCAGCTCACGAGTTGGTGGGTGTCCCAAATTTTGGTGTATTCTTTTCAGCGTTGAGGCGACCATCGGCTTGACCTTGCCCTTGAAGTAGATAGCCTCAGCCCCCCGAGTTGGTTCTACCTCTCCGGTTCCCGGTTCAGTGCTCGTAGGAAAGTGAGTCGATGTCCGGGCTTCAGCCCTGCATGCTCCGTCGAGGGCCTTCACCACTGCCTTGGCAAAGTCCGGTGGATAGGTGGCCGATGCCCTCGTGTCTTTTCCTTGTATGGGACGATGTTCATGCTGTCCTGGACATCGCAAGGCAAGCTCCTTAGCGAACACCTGGTTGTTGGTCAAGATGGACACTCCTTTCTTCAGAGGTTTGCCGTCGGCCACACTCACCAACCCGTACTGACAAAGGTCCAGGTCGGCAAAACAGACGTTCTCCTCCTTTACAATGCTGTCGAATTGAGGCTGCCTCCAAATGTCGCTGGTGCGTGGGTTCTCGACCGCCACGATGCCTCCCAGCGTCTGCTGCAGCTCGAACACCCGCTGGACGAAGTTGAGCAGGTTCTTCTCCTTGCTGCTGATTCTCCTCAACTCCTGGGAGGAATAGTTCAACCGTGAGAACTGACACCACACCGTGCACGGGGGCGCCAACCACACCAGCTTGGGACGTTGTCTCCTCGACGACCTCCTCCTGGATCTCGGTCTTCTGTAGGTCGTGGTCAAAGAGGATGTCTCGGGGCTGCAGCACGCCTCACTGCTTTTGGGCAAAGGCGGAGGATATGTTGGCATGCCCTGCGAACAGTTCCAAGCAGTCCACTTTGAAGGTTTCTTCATGTGGATGATGAGCTTGCATGACCGCCCAGGCATCCCACATCGGATCTCCCATCACTTCTTGTGCCCAAGTTCCCATAGCCACTGAGCAGGTTGTGAGCACCGTGAACAGTGAACGCACACCATCCCAAAGCTTCTGAAATCTCCTTCTCCGGATCCCTTCTCGTGCCCGAGCCCGGGCCCAGTCAGAGCTCCTCGGCGACCTCGACCTCGATCTCTCTTCCTCGGAACCACTGGTGGTGACATTATCGTCTTCGTCCAAGCCGTGGACATTCTCCTGCAAGTTGCTGGCACCGAGGTCATATTCATTGGTTGAAGTGTCGCTTGAGGGCTGCTCGTTCTCGAACTCGGGATGGTCACCGGCCCGCCGTTCACCGGTGTTATAGTCCTGAGCCCGCGATCTCCTTTCTCCCAAGAACGCCTGCCACAGGCGCTCATCCTCGTCTCCACTCTCGTAGAACTCTTGTTGCCAGGCATCTGTCACTTCTTGGGTGAGTTCTGCTTCTTCTTCAGTGCTGCGATCTGGTTCTCCAGAGCCCTGATGCGCTCCGCGTCGTCCTCCATCCACTCCTCGGTGATGTCCGTGTCCAGCGGGAGGTATTATTATTCCGCCTTGACTTTCCGGGAGCCCTGGCTCTGGGTGTACACCTTGGCCCAAGATCCCTCTGAAGAGCTGGCGGGCCATTTCTCCGACGCCATTGAGGGCGGAGGCACCACCGCCAGCGCTTCGGGATCGCGGCCGACGTCCTTCTTCTTTGCATACCCGGGGGCCGCATCCCGACGCTCCATCTCCTGGCTTCCCCACGTGGCAAGGCGCACTAGGTCCTCGTGGGCATTGGGGTTGTTCTTGATCTCCCTGATGGCCCATTGGAGGTACTGAGTCGGCACCTCCTGATACATCCATCCCTTGTAGCGGCCGAATGGGACCACGGTGCAGCCTGTTGAAGTCGACGGCAATCAAACTGATTGTTCACACTCGAAAGGAGGGCCAGCTCTTCATGCTCCCCTAGCCGCAACTTGTCCAGGTAGAGCCAGCCTTTCACCAGTGGAGGGAGTTCACAATGCACCTCCCTCAACCGAAGTACTAGGCGCTCAAACTCCACATTGAAATCCCTCACCGACTGCTCGGGCTTCCTTCTGCAGCGTTTGAAGAGCTCGGACATCATGTTGGACACCTCCGTGACCTCCACCTCCATGAAGCGCGTCTGGACCCACTCGAGGTAATCAGACACGCCATTGTCGGAGGCCAAGATGTCCACATCGAGCTCTTCCGCATAGACCCAAGCTCTGCCGGTCAGCTCGTTGTACAAGGCGAGTGCACGTTGAGCTGCCGGCATCTTCGTGCACCTCAGCCAAACTTGAGAATCTTCCTCAAGTAAGAACGAGCGGTGCGACCGACATCTCCTTCACCGGTGGCCTCACCATCGAAGGATGGCACGACAAGCTTCTCGGTCGGCTTCCCTTTGGGGTCGTTCGAACTCCACCCCTCCCAGTCCTGTCCTTCATGCCATCGACCGCCAGCACCAGTCACCTTCTCATCATAGGATCCCGACCAGCGCCCATTCACCACGGCGGTGGTCTGCGGAACCTTGGCGGTCGTGAAGTTCCTGATCTGGGAGTCAGTCATCCATCCATCGAACTCGGACGAGAGGCCTCCGGGGCCTTGCGGCCTCGTTCGAAGCTCCTCAGTGCCCCCACCGCCGCTAGCGCCACCCGACCAAGGATCGCCACTGCCCCAGGGGTCACCCGAAGCAAGTTGGTCTTCCCAGTCAGCATCATTCCATTCCCAACGCGAATGTGAAGGGGTCGACCACTGCCCATCTAAAGCTCCCCCATTCAGTGGCATGCCCTGGGTAGGTCCGCTAGACATCAAAGGCTCTGGCCTCCAGGATGGTCTCCATGCGCTCATGTTGTCAAAGGTCCACTAGTCGAAACCAAACGCTCCGCGGCACCAATGCAAAAGTACTGGTTGGTCAATCCCTACATGGCAAGTGCACCGCACACTTTTCTAAACTGCTTTCAAACCCTTGTGCCTGAGTGGCGCCCGGTCAATCGCACAACCACGTGCAAGGGGCGTCAACAAGCGAGGAATGGGGTTCATTCACAACTATATTGAAGGACCTGTTGGCCTTCTTTGGGCTTTTTGGGACAAGAAATCCAAGGTACCATCAGCCATCATCTGGCTTGCATTTACAACAGTCCAACGAAATGAAAGGCAATGTCCCATTTCCATGCCTAAAGCCAGTTGCCGATCCAAAGCTCCCTCGGGAAAGGCATCCGGGTCGCTCCCTGTCTGCATCCGATAGACCCCAGCCAGCGCCCAACAAACAACCTGAGAAGAGAATGCATATTGCAACTTTGCAACCCTCAAATTTCAATGTGCCTCTGCCAAAACATTTGATGGACAACGAGTTCAACTAAACGGTTCAGATCTTGCTTCCAAGTGACCAGGGACCAAGCCTTGGTCCAACCAGCACTTATTAGACTTAGCACTTTTCAAAGGCAATTTGGATGTCCGTATGCTATTCCAGTTCCCGTCGCAGGGGGCAAACTTAGCTTCCATGAACCTGTTTCATTGATGGTGGCACTTGTAATTGGCGCGCAGAAACCAAATCACTCCGCAGCACCGCCTTGAAAATGCCAATCACCGACACGGCCACAACAACCACTGCGGCTGCTGTTGGAGTGCCAGCCACTCCAAAGCTGTCCTGCCAGATTTTGGGAGCAACAAGTTCATTGCTCTGAGCTGATAAGGCTGAAGCTGTTTTGTGGCCTCATTCTTGCAACACTGTGTGGCAACCCGTGGTTCCTTCAATTGCGACACGGCAATTGCAGCCAAACATGGTAACATCAGCAATGCCGTGTTGCATCCTCACTTCAACATCTGTAATCTTGTCTTGTCAATGCTTGGCCTGTGCACTTACTGAACCACGGGTGGCCGTCAACATCTCTAAAGAACATGAAGCGGCCGGGCCTTCCACCCAAGAACCCCAGCAAAGGTGAAGGCATTTGCGCAGGTGGCCACTAAAACCCAACTGGCATTGCAGGCGATTCCCGCACAAAAGCTAAGCCACTCCCAAAATGATGATGCCTCAACGACGTCTAGCAAACAGCAATCTCGCTACTAGTCGCAAGTAGCAAGATCATCTCGCTACTAGTAACAAGGGCATTGTTATATAGTAGTAGCAAGAAGCTACTGGTACAGTAACTGACATGAACCCCAACCCCGGGGGCGAAGAACACTTGACTAAATGCTCCCTTGCTGTCGAAGCTCTGTCTTGCTGTTCAAATCACGGTAGACGGAGAGGAGATATCCCAAGTACACGATAATGACAATCAAGGCCCAGCCAAAACACAAATTCACATAGAGGGGCAACCAAATCCTGGTCCAGCGATACCACGACGCTCTCGATTGCCATGACTGTGTGGTTTTGGAACGTTTTGCATTCCAGGGCTTGACTTGGCCGCAAGCCATGTTGACAGATTGACATCAAATGCAAGCATGCGACCCATTGGCCATGAAAACCATCACCAATCTCCATCGCACACTGAAGCCTTGAGTCTTGAGGTAAAAAGTCAATTGCACATTCCAGATCAAATTGTAGTTACGCAGGAATCTGATGGTCTAGCAGTCTAGCATTCCATTTTGCATTGGCTGCACGATCCCCAGCGAAGGCAACATGGTCAAGGAGTGGGATCAATGAAGAAAACAAACATCTGCTGCAACAATAATAGGCTCTACGGCCCTAAGGTCTAAGGCGTATACAAGTATACAATGCTGCAACTTTCGTCAGCCTGCTGAACCTCTTATTGCAAGGCATCGAAACGTACATAATTGGACTGCGCAGCATCCAGAAGGGCCGGGTTGTGAAAGAAGAGCTTCTGCATGTGGATCTGGGGAAACTTGCCGAACCTTAGGGACAACGCGCGGCTTACAAAGACAAACAAAAATTGAGGGAACCGATTCCATTAAAGTCCGCATGTTAACATCATCATATGTGGCACACTTTGCCATCCTATTTAGTTTGGCAAGTTAGTCGGTGCAAATTTGGGCCGCAAACGACCAGCACCAACTCCAGGGTGTAAATCACTGCCCATATGCTGAAAGTGAGCCCATCAGGTGTGACCTCGCGAGTTCTACCGATGAATTTGCTTGCAAGATTCAACCCTCCAAGGCCAACACGTACGTTGGGTATTCATTTGAGATCTCCCCGATCGACTTGCCTGAAACCATGGGGTGCTGGCCGCGGTTGCAAGCAAGTACACCTACATTGTTGCTGCACCATGCTGTGCCGCACACCATCAGCCCCTGCCGGCCTGACAGCGCACCTGAGGACCCAAGGCCATTCATGACCAAGCTCAGCACAAAAGACCTCGTTGCACACCATGCTGGGAAGCGAACCCGGACCCGGACTCTAAACGCTTGGCCCCGGACACAACAACCGCAATCTTGTCCAAGCCACACCCATTCCAGCACATAGTCCGCTCGCACTTCGTCGAACGATGGCAAAGCTCAGGTGTCCAAACAAAATGGCTGCAAGAGCAAGGTGGCCTAAAGAAATTACCCGAATTTCCAACAAACACTCAACGGTTTGGACAACTAGCTTTGACGTCAGGAAAAAAGATTTGGCGCCAGTTCCAACCCGACCACCGCGAGCCCATGCCGTAATCACCACCGTTACACATACACATGATACACATGTGAGGATTCTTGTGACGACATGGCCTGCATTGGGCCTAGCCTCAAGGTGTGACAATGAACACGAAACCGATGCCAACAAGACCGCATCCAAAAGGTGTCAATCTGCGGGAAGGAACTTGACCGGGGAATGCAAAAAGAAAGTGTATCGAATCCACAGGTGTTCGGCTGCAAACGTTTGTGCTGGGGTGCTTGGGCTGCAGCGCTGCAAACATGTGAAGGCCCAAATCATTGATCCAGTGCTTGTTCGTTGCCGATGCTCGGTTGGATGTGGGCTGACGAACGGTCACTTTCTTGTTTGTTGCTGTGAATTGAACGCCGTTCACTTGGAAGGGAAGCAGGCTGTCGAAGCCGTCGGGTTCAGGAACTGGATTTGCGAATCCACCGCACGGCGGCGACCATGTCTTGGCCTGTCTGGACTTCGGACATGGCCACAGCCTTTCTCCAAGGAAAGCCCCAAAGCCGGAAGCTATGGGCACAACTTCCTGCAGAGTGCTTGGACCTTCTCGGCGCATCAGCAGACACACGAATGCTGCTCCTGAAGCCTTGCTACGGACAGATAGACGCTCCAAGATCCTGGTACATGGCCGCCGTGGACAAGTTGTTGGACATGGGCCTCAAACAGCATCCTCAGACCCTTGTTGTTTTCTGGCCTACGAAGCCGATCTCAACCCTGTCAGGGAGTGGAAGACTGGCAAGGATGGTTCTGATCTGTCCTATTGCGGCTGCGATCTAAAGATCACTGAGGCCGGCGGCTACAAGATCGAACGGGCCACGTGTATGAAGAAGGTGAAGCCCATCACCCTGGACAAACGTCGAGACCCCAGTGAAGTTGCTTCAGAAAAGGATGTGTCACAACTCCGAGGTTTTTTTGAGATCCTTGCAGTGGCCATCGGTGCAATCAAGTCCACACCTTCAAGGCAGCACCTCGATCCTGAGCGGATGCGTCTCAAGAGCCACCATTCAGACGCTGATGGACTGCAACGAAGAAGAACTCCGACATCGGCTTGGTCTGTGACCACATTGGCCCAGTGCAGGATCTGAGACTCCTGTGCTTCTTTGGCGCCGCCTTCGCTACAAAGAGCGACTGCAGTTCGCAACTCGGATACGTCTTGATCAACAAATCCCTTCTTCAGCCGGATGGCCCAGAAGGAGCCGATCTCATCCTTGACTGGAGGAACCAGAAGGCTCCCCGGGTTGCCAGATCCTCCTTGGGCGCCGAAGCGCAAGCTGGAGGACAAGCATGCGATGCCTTGGAACACGTTCGCGTGTACTGGAGTTGCCTCTTTGGCCCTCCAAGGAAACTCAAGGATTTGCTTGACTGCAAGTCCCCACTCGCACCAACAATGGTGACAAACGCCAAGCGCTCTATGACATTATGACTCCTTTCATCGTGAAGGCTATGGCACGTCCGTGGTGGACAAAAGAGTGTCGCTGGAAATCCGAGTCGTGAAGGAAAGACTCTTGGCCTTGGGTGGAGGCCTTCGTTGGATGTCATCTGAACGACAACTAACCGACGGGCTCACAAAGGAGAGTGCTCGTGCAAGTTTCTAAGAGAGCACTTTCAGCCCACCTGCCAACAAAGATTAACATCACCAAGCGCTTCTCCCAGAGGCCCTTCAGATGGTCGATGAACATGGTGAAGATTTCGCTATGGACCCTGAGGGGCATGACGCCCTTGCATATGCCCACATGGCTGTCACTGAGGACACTGTGTCCTACCTGATGGAGGTGTGCGAGTATGCCCTGATCTCAGACGAAAGCTTTGAGATTGAGTATGACAACCCTGCTGCTCCGAGCCATGTCGTGCGCCGCGTGCCGTATGGGAACGTGAGTCGCATGCGGAACCTCCTCTGTTGGGCAGTGATCTTGTTGATTCTGCCTGTTGCCATGGCGGCGACCCTCGGACCGGACAACTTCACCAGTGCACTGTTCACAGTTGTGCGCATGCTCGCTGGTGCATTCTTCCTGCTTGGTCGTTGGAGCCGAGCAACCGAAACTACCACACTTTTTGTGCAGTTCAGTGAGGCCGGAACTCAAACAGGTGACACAACCATCTCCCGGAGGCCGAAGTATGAAATTGAACTTTGGAAAATGCGCGCCCTGGAAGCCCAGAACTCAGCCATGGAGAGCAGAAAAACTCTGGATTTGGCCATCGCCAACATGAATGACAGTGGTGAGCTGATGCACCGTGCAGGACACATCCTGCGCCGCTGCCTCAAAGAGATGGATGAGCATCATTTGGAAGGCCCTCTCCACTCCGGCATTCACATCGCACGCCACGGCCGAAACAATCCCTCGAGGGACGAGACCGAATGGACATCTATGATCCATGTGCTTTGTGCAGCACTGGTGTGCTGTTTCCTGATCGGGTTTCAATCTCCGGAGGTACTTCGCTGAGGTTGGCAATCTCGACCTGGCTTGAGGCCAACGGATTGATCGCTGAAGAAGTGATTTCAACAGCATCGACTTTTGGGCCTAACATCACCCCCATGTGAATTGAACGCTGTTCACCTGGCAGGGGAGCAGGCTGTCGAAGCCGTCGCGTTCAGGAACTGAACCCGCCGCACTTGAATTTTCAAGGCGGGTGGGCCATCGCTCGCGAAAAGGCTTCGCTGTGCGCCGCACTCCGTGGCGCGTTCGTTTACGTGGTTTTTTGACTTCGAGTGCGACGAATCTTTTTCGCACTGGCGTTATATGGTCTACGATGGTATACGTGCGTTTCGGCAATGGCAGCCGCTTCATCCGGACAGCAACCTGGCAAGTGGTTCTCACCCTGCGGTGCCCAAGCCCGCGAAAACGGCAGCGGGCCCTTGACCCAAAAACATCCAAAAACCTAATCAAAAAACTCTCAAAGCTGAGCTGTTGCTAACCTATCTTCGAGATGTGTGTGGCACCATACATGTTGGAACACCATGGACATGATGCAGCTTGAGTTGTCCTGCGGTTGTTGCACTGCCACCTCCACTTTTTGGCACGGGTTGTGTGCCCGTGTTTCTTTTTTGCACCCTCTAACTGGGACGATTGGGGGGGCCGGGCGGGGGGTGAGACGAGAAGACCGACGCAGCTAGGCTGCGCCCCCTCAGCGGCCGGGAGGACCAAGTCGCTGGGGAGGTCTGAAATGTGTGTCCCCGTCCACGTTGTGAGTGGACTGCAAGGCGGCCGGGAGCTCACCGGGAGAGACCGCACAAATTGGTAGCGGACCCACAAAACTCAGGGTTCCTGGCGCCACTTGCCCATGCTTGCGGAGCAAAATGGCAAGTTCAGCCAAGAGCGCTTGAATGTTTTTTCTCTAGCCTCACTGCCGCCACAAACAGTCTTTAGCATCCCACTGTGCAAAGTACGGGCAAGCTTCGGGGGAAGTTGAAAAGCATGGCATCAAGATGCCATCTAAAGTCACAGGCTGGCTGATGTTGAGGAGGGGTGGACTTCCTCGTCAGTGTGACACCACCCTCGAAGAGAGCAAAGTGGAGTATGCCTTGCACTACCTCTTCGGCATACACTATTGGGAAGGTGGGGCTGTCACAAAAGCCTCCAGAAAAAGGTAACGGCCGCAACAAAATGAAGAAAACATGAGAAACCTAGCTGAGGCCTATGCTGCACAAAACGATAGCCACATTGACAACTATGAGAAAAACGACGAGTTCGAAGAGGAACACCAGAGTTGGACGCGTATGACAACGAAGAAGCCTTCCACGAGGAAGAACAACATAATGGTTCCACAACCTACACCCTTTCTGTTTCCTCTCTTTCAACCAGCTCCAGCCGAGCCGGGGTGCCACGGTATAGCGCGGCCCGAGCGACTGGCGTGCGCGCCGTCACCATGGCGGACGGCAAGGTTGCTGAGGAGCGGAGCCTCGCCGTCAACGTTCGCCCCGAGCGCGGCGGGGAGGGTCAGGAGCGAAGCAAGACGAGGCAAAGCGAGGCACGTTGACAAGATTGCAAAAACGAAATGGTCAGCAGCACAACGGACAGTGCAACGACCACATAGGAACCTCGGCAGCCATTAAAAAATCCACAGAATCCCTCAGCCAGCAACGATCTCGTTTCGACCAGCAAGAAAGGCTCTCGTACTGAGGACACACTTTCGTACTGCACTAAATCCAACCCCACACAACATTGGACACCCAAATGGGACCGATGCCATACCGAAGCCCCAGTCCATGAGGCCGAGAAAAAACCATCGCAATGTGCCGACCCGCAATTTTTCTCCTCACAAGATTCCTCCCCGCGGGCCGATGACGCGCCGTCAACGTTCGCCGCACCACCCGCCTTGAGAACAACTACGTCACTTTTAGGAGGAATGCCGGAATGAATGGATTCTCAAGAAGGGCAAATTCGTTCGAGGACACTACCTGCCGAAGAACACGCCAATGATTCCACTGCAGCAGGTCCACTGCCATCGCACTATCTCCGCAAAACAAAAGCAAACAACAAACAAACAAATAGCACCAGCATAGACCCCAGATAGCAAAACATGCACAAGGTTTTTCTAGACCGCACCCTGCATTGGTAGCTGCTCCTAAATGTCTGGGCCCAGTATTGCATTCGCATTGGCTTTGGTTATTGTCGCAGAATCAAGCTCAGTAATCATTTGTTTTGGGTAAAGTTGATCTGCTTCACGACGGTGCAAAGCCAGCTCATATTCCAAATTGCTGGATCAACAGTCGAACAATTTCTGGTCTTCTGATCTTCATCATGCGGGGGGAAAGTCCAAAAGCAACGTCACTTAGAACGCTTGGCTACCAAAAGCCTGCTAACCCAGGATGCCATAAGCCTACCCAGCACCAACAGCACTGGCAACTCAGCCAACATCACACATTTTCAAATACCTTCA